CAATAGAAAATGCAGGTTCTCTGAACTGGTGCAAAACTGTCTTGTTAATTTGTGGAGTTTCCACTATAATATACAGGAAAGAGTGAGATTAAAACATTTAGGGTCCAATCTTGACTACTCTACTTAGAAGAATTTAAAGGGGACCTACAGAGAATTTTTTAAAATTTATCTTTTTCTAAACTCCTTTATTATTAGGCTTTGCAGAATTCAATTTTTTATATAATTTTAATGGATAATATTTGTTGTAAACATTTTTCAATTTTTACCTATTTAAATTTTCACGGTCACACAAAACCAATTTAAATTTTCACAATTGTAGGAAATTATGGGGAGAGTCAGACAATAATTTAATGACAGTAGACACTGAGATTGAAAAAGTTAAAGCTTTATAACTGCTACAATACAAACTGTCAACATCACATGTTAAAATATACAAAGTAAATATCCCAAATCAAACTCTAATAAATTCACAAGCAGTATTTTTCTTACTTTGCCTATCTTTTCCATTTCAGTTATTATCAATGGAACTATTTTTATCAGTTTGTGTACGTATGGTAAAGTCAAGATTTACTGTTAAAACGTTACAATCTAATCCTTCCAAGCCTATTTGTAATGCATAAAGAGGCTCTGAAAGGTGTTTTGTTCTTAAGATTACACAGACACACTTGTTTTTTTCCTTACAAATAGCAGGAATATCAATTTTGATCGCTCCTAGTTTTGCTGGAGGCCGTGCTCGATGTCTCAGAGGAGAAATATCGTTTGCGCTCATCACTGAAAGCTGTTAAACAAAACATAAAGGGCCAGATTCTGCCACTCCTACTTACATCTTTCTCCAAGCGTTGTGCCATCCAAGTCAATGCAACTATTCATGGAGTAAGATACTATTCAACATGAGTAAGAATTGGAACCAAGGAGCGTTAAGGAGTTTGACTAAAAAAGTTTCCATCCCTCTTAATTGCTCAGCCATTCACAATCTTGATTCTTGTGATGCCCTCATTTCACTAGTTCTCCAGCAATCAGTCTTGCAGGCTAAACAAGATTTTCTGCTGTAAAAACATGGCTACGAAATAAACTTTTCAGGCTTTCTTTACACATAATAAAGAAGAAAAATTCCCCCTTCTCCCTTCTTAGAAGTCACCTTTAAGAATGTAACCCACATGGTTTAGTTCAGGAGTTAAACTGACTTTCAATTAGATTTTTTAATAATATTTATTCTATTAACTTTAATGAAAGTATTCACATGGATGAAGTTAAACATGTGTATTGGTGTTTGAAGGATCAAGCCTATAGTAACTACATTTTAGTACCCTCTCTTGTCAAGAGGTAGCAAGTCATTTTAATAAAATACATATTTTTTAAAAGGCATACTTTACCCATTCAAAATCATTTTTACTCCCAAACTAACACCAATAACAAGTTGTCAGTGGGACTGGTTACATGCGTAAAGTTAAGACAGTGCATAAATGTTGGCAAAATCAAGGCTATACTACCTTTTCCTCTATATCTCACTATTACATGCAGCATGAACATGCCCACTAAAACATAATACTGGCTAAATATATGGGGGAGGCGGGGGGGAATTAAACATCCATCCAATGAGGTTTCCTGCATATACCTTACCAAAAAACACCTCCCCACACGTAAACCACCACTTCCCACATTTTGGAACCTAGTTTCAGTGATGCTGAGCTGTACATTCAATCCAGTTTTACATAGGTAATGTACATGTCTGGTGTGTTATTGCTGCGCTTTTAGAAGCATAACATTAGCTCTGCACACACATACTAGCGTCTGCATTGATGGGGAAGCATCAGTTGGGAAATGGTACCCCCTTTGCTTCTTCTCTTCAGTGGGAAAGGCAGGATCGGCTTCTCCTCTTCTCTAGGGGTGGTTAGACAGTAATCAACCCACTGAGGACTGGGTCATGTGAGGCCACTCCTATTTCTTTTCTTCACTGTGGGACGGGGGCTACTCTGGCATCTCACCAGAGGGGAAAGAGGTGTTGGGTTCATCCAAAGGGTGAGTGCAAGAGCACCAGGAATCTTGTCTTTACTGGCAATTTTTGGGAAATCGCCAACTGTTGCACGAACACCAGCAGAGCTGCACCATGCTACTTCTACGGTGGGAGATTTAAATAAACTCTGATATAGAGGAAGCCATGAAGGAACACACATAGGAAAACTGGGTGTACCATGAATGGAGGGAGATGTTTGAGCACAGGTGTTAGAGTGTCTATACTACCCTTGCCCACCACCACCCCCTGCTACAATTACCCACTGTTGCTGGACAGCTGCACCAGTGGGAGCAATGGTGGGACTACCAGCTCATACCAGTGCCTTGTCTACACTAGCAGGTCTACCATTGCTATCACCGGTGGAGCTGAACTGGTGGTAGCAATGCTTGGAACTTTAGAGGGAAAAGATCTTTTCTAAACAAGGGTACAGAAGGGGAAGCATGTATGAGTGGGAGATGACTGTGTGACTCAACAGGGATGAGAACAGTGGGGCTGGGTGTCTCAAATAGCAGGCATAGGGGAAATGAACACAAATGGACGTGACCTTAAGGGGCGGAGTGGAAGTCTCCACTGTGAGGCATGCACAAACTGAGCAACACAAGGAGATTAGTATCAGAGGGGTAGCCGTGTTAGTCTGAATCTGTAAAAAGCAACAGAGGGTCCTGTGGCACCTTTAAGACTAACAGAAGTATTGGGAGCATAAGCTTTCGTGGGTAAGAACCTTGCATCTGAAGAAGTGAGGTTCTTACCCATGAAAGCTTATGCTCCCAATACTTCTGTTAGTCTTAAAGGTGCCACAGGACCCTCTGTTGCTTTTTACAAGGAGATTAGGAAGCCACTGTAGACCAATTATGATTCTGTTATCTTAGTGGGGTAAAGAGCAACTAGCACCTTCCTACCAAATATCCCCTAGTTCAGTTCATAACTCCTCTTGTTTGTGACTTATTTGAGTTGTATCAATAGCAATATCGGTGTAGTGAGATAGCTCTCATAAATGGGAATCATCAAAGACAAACTGGTTGGAAACTCAAAGGAGCATCTCTCTCCAGAAAGCAAGAGAGAGGGGAGCTGGGAAATCAAACAACAAAGGGGAGGCTACATTTGCTTTACCGGAAAATATTTCCTAGTGCCATCTCTTCTAGCTCCACTGTGGTTTGTGAGAGTACAGAGGAGCTGAGAGAATTGATTTACAAATATTGCATTACAAAACATGACGCCATTGGCAGAATAAAGGATCAAATCTCTATTATATGCAGTGTAGTTGTAGCCCTGTGGGTCCCAGGATAGGCAGTTGGTCCAATAAGAGATATTACCTCACCCACCTTGTCTCTCTGATCGCTTTTAGTCAGTCAGCTCTGGTGAAGCCATGACAAGTAACCCGGCCTGAGCTGAAGTTTTCTCCTGGTTGCTCTGCAGCCCTCAGCCAGCCCCGCAGGCCGCCAGCTCTCCAGGTGCTGGTCCCGCCCACTTCCCCCAGGCTCGCAGGACACGTTACTCGATGAACCAAGGGCCCTCCTCACCCACAGGGGCTGGAAATGGGGCGCTTCGGAGCGGGGCCGTCACACCTGCTGCCCCCCAGGACACGAGCCCTAGCGCCAGGCGCGCCCCAGCTCCTCGCACCTGCGAGCGGCGCTGGCGGAGGCTAACAGCGGGGGAGAGCCCCGGCCAGCGCATGGCGCACACGAAACAGCCCCTGCAGCGAGCGGCGCCTCCCAGGGAACGGGCTGGGTTAGAGCTGCCAGCACGTGGGGCGCCCTGCGGCCGGGCGCAGCTCACCGCGGGGAAGCGGGGCCCACGCGGCCCTGGAGCCACGCTCTACCCCCGTGTCCTTGCCCTCACCGCTGTCCCCACCCAGCCCAGCTCAGCCCTGTAGGCGGCCGGGGCAGAGCTCGGCGCGGGGCCCGTTGCGCCGCAGGGTGGGGTGCTGGGCTACTGCCCGCTCTGCTCAGAGCCAGCAGCTGCCGAGGGCTGCGTGGCAAGCGGCGCAGAGCGCGCCCCGCCGGAGTCTGGCCAGGGGCTAGAGTGCAGGGCTGGCTGCAGGCTGCTAAGACGCTGCGCCCCGGCTCACTCAGGCCCGCGGGCCTGTCCGGCCTCAGACGCCGTGAGAGCGAGCCAGCCAAACGCGCCCTCCTGGCTGAGCCGAATCCACAAAGCGCTCCCCGGGCGCCAGGCCGCAGCCTCCGACAGCGAGGGGAGCGCTCCCCCCAGGCCCTCATCTGCCCAGCTCCAGGGGCCGTGCCCTATTTACATGCAATGTATTAGCCAGTGTCCCCGCCCTGGGCTCTGGCAGCGGACAGCTCCTTCTCCTGCCAGCTTGAGGCCAAGCATCAGCGAGCTGCTCTGAAAATGGCCATGCGTTCTTCTGGTGGCTTGCTTGCCCTCCCCTGACTTCCAGAGCAGCACACGCTAGACACCGCAGGCGGGCATTTAACACAGAACCCATTTAAAAACTGATACTAGCGCCTCAGGCTGACGTTGAGCATTAATCACCCTAGTTGAAATATGAGGGCTGGGGGAGCTTTACAGACAAGCTTAGTTACAAAACGATTGCTGGGCGCTCCTTGTAAAGAACCATCAACTTCGGCAATGAATGGTAGCGCTATGGGACGATAGTAACCATTAGTGAAGGAAACCCACCAAACCGTATTCGGAGTTATGGTGCATTTAGACAGTTGCAACCGTTCACAGCTGGATTCTTTCGTTGCCCGTATTTAAAAAATAAATAAAAAAAAGTTTTGCTTTTTTAATTATGTCTCGCGCCTGCTAATAAATTTAAACATCACTTCACACGCTGAAATTAGGGATTAATCAGTTACAAATTAGCACCATTTACAACACCGTATCTTCCACTCTTTCCAAACTAGTCAAACCCTGATAAATAAATAACTGCAGACGCCCCTTTTTCTAGATTAAGGAAAAATATGTCGCCAACATCGGATTTAAAGTATCTGTAAATAGCACAAAGATAAATAAAGGGGCCGGCGTATACCTGTGCAACACCTCCGCAACTTATTTTATTTACAAGCAATCACCTCGGGGTAATGTACACTATATACAGATCTCTTTTCCCTCCAACAAGGCAGAGTGTGTGCAAGTAGCATCCTTTTGTGCAAGTCCCACAGTCCACGGCAAGGGTCCATTTGCAAGGTATCAACTATCGGAGTCCAAATCACTTTTCCCTTCTTCTTGCCTCTTTTCTGGGGACGTTTTGGAAGCTTTATTCCATTTCTGTGCGTTTTCTGACTCCTCCGAAGAGGATCTCTTTTGCCTTCTCCATTTTGCCCGGCGGTTCTTGAACCAAACCTGTCATTGCAATAAATCAAATCATTATAGTAGTAACAAACAACAACATTTTGTTCAGACGGGCACCCCTTTCAGCCCGTATACGCGTCACACCAGTTCTGCGTGGCATGCACATCTTTGACTCGATTTGCTTTGGTTCGGTTTAAATGGAAAAGCAGAGTAATTACAATCGGTTAGGTCTATTTCAAGTCTAAGGTTTGCCGCGTTTAGAGGGGTGATCGCTTATCGAAATTTGCTAATTATCTGAGTGATCGGTTTATTTATCCGAGTGCAGACGGGTACGTTTAAGAGCTAAACTTTTTGCCCCTCTTGTAAACCTGTTGCATGCTCTTCCATCAGCTTGCCTTGGACAACGCGCGGCGATGGCTGCAGCTAGACTAGGAACTGAGACTCAGTTAACTTTTAAATATAAAAGGGGGAAATACCTCCACTTTTTCCTCTCTTAAATGCACCCTCCTGGCCAGCTGTTCCCTGGTGCCCACATCTGGGTATTTAGTTTCCTGGAAGAGGTTTTCCAAAGCTTCCAGCTGCTCGTCAGTGAAGATAGTTCGGTGTCGTCTTTTCCTCCTGCAGTGCAGCTGGTTCAGTAACTGCAGCTCAGTCCGGGACAAGGTGCCCACGTTCATATACGGCAACATCTGGTGGGGCATAGGCGACATCAGGACTGACCCAGTACCCTCGTAGCCTAGAGAGAAGACGACCACACTATTTGCATTGGACGGAGAGATCAAGATCAGATCACTCCGTTAAAAGCTTGTGCCCCCTTCCCTCTGACATCGACCCACCGACACAACCCGAGATCCCCCTCTGAGCCCGAAACAAAGAACCCCCGAGCCAAACGATCCGAAGTTAGAATGGGGCTGAGTGAGACGCGTCCTATAGACATAATACAGGGCAAGGAATTGGCAGGGTGACAGTACTTCGCTGGGATTCCTAGTCATTTCGGAGAGGCAGGGACCCAAACGCTGTTTACAGCTGGCTCATCAAGCACACAAATAGCCAGGCACCCGCCTCGCGAACAATCTCAATCCTCCCCCCCCGGGCTCTCCCAGCTGGGTGAGAACGAACGGGCACCTGGGCTCGCTTACCTGTTGCAGGGACGCACGAACACTGCTGCGCGCCCAGAGGCTGCATGGCCCCACAGCACGAAGGACCCACGGGGGACGCCTGCACATGCAGCTGCCCGTAGTAGTAGTTGTTGTAGGCAATCCTAGATCCACTGACCGCGGGCAGATTGGAAGCGGGGGCCACCGCCCGGGAGTAAAATCCGCTGTAATCGGTGCCGTAGAGGGAGTCCCCATGCAGGTTGGAGAACACCACGGGCGCGGCACTCTGGTGCAGCAGGACCGACTCCTTGCAGCGGGGTCTGGCGGCCAGGATGTTGTCGATGCTGAACATACCAGCAGGCATTACCCGAACTCTGCAGGGGCGGGCAGGGAGGGACGAAACCGAAACTTTCCCGAGACTTTCAAGGGGATCAGAGCGAAATAAATTGATCTTTTTTCCGAAGGCAGCGTGTGTGTGTGCGCGCACGCGCTCGCTCGCAGGAGACTGCTCTGTAACTTTCCCCCTCCACTCTAGCCTGTTTACTGATCTCAACCCAGAGGGCTGCATGGAGTATAATCCATCTGCACTTCTTCCCTTTTTTATACCCAGGCGACGTCATCCTGGATTTAGTTCCTGGTAATAGGCAGATGACAAACAAAACCAGATTTGACTTTATTTTGGGGATGGGGGAGGGAAGAGGTGGAGCTGAGAGAGGGGTACACAAAGGAGTGAAAGGAGCCTAAGCTGTGTATTGAGAATTAATGAAATTAACTTAATCCTTTCCATTAGTGGGACTTTTTTTTTCTTTTTCTTTTCTTTCCTTTTTTTTA